AGTCAACTTTGATGATTTAGTTTTCTCCAGATAATTCATTCTCTGTATTTTTATAGATATTGAAATATATGTATATGGTAACACATATAACTTTAAAATTTTTAATTCTCCTTGATATATATAGCTGTTTAACCTTTCTCATATATAAAGTTGAAACGGAGTCTTTTTTTCCTCAATAACTGCCAATTCTTTATTAATGGCCTTTTCAAAGAGAACATCCTTGGATAAGGATTTTATTAGCTATTTCATTAATTTCTACTTTAGTGTATGAATTACTTTGTGGTACTTAGTTTTAAAAAAAATTATTAAAAAACTATTTTATGGTTCAAGCTAATGTGTTTTTCCCCCCAATTTTAAAAATCAACTATCTGTTAGGTGGCTCAGTTGGTTAATAAGCATCCGTCTCATGATCTCACGGGTTGTGAGTTCAAGCCCCACATGGGGCTCTGCACTGACACTGTGCAGCCTGCTTGGGATTCTCTCTCTCTCCCACTGCCCCTCTCCCCCCTCTCTCAAAAATAAATAAACAAAAATCAACTGCCTGTTATACAACAGGTACTATAAGTGTGGGGACAGAATGGTAAAGAAGACAAACACTAGTTCCTCAGTCCAAGTTTTCTTTTTCTTTTTTTTTTTTAATATATGAAATTTATTGTCAAATTGGTTTCCATACAACACCCAGTGCTCATCCCAAAAGATGCCCTCTTCAATACCCATCACCTACCCTCCCCTCCCTCCCACCCCCATTAACCCTCAGTTTTTTTTTTGTTTTTTTTTTTAATGTTTATTTATTTTTGAGACAGAGAGAGACAGAGCATGGACAGGGGAGGAGCAGAGAGAGAGGGAGACACACAGAATCTGAAGTGGGCTCCAGACTCCGAGCTGTCAGCACAAGAGCCCGTGAGGGCTCGAACTCATGGACCGTGAGATCATGACCTGAGCGAGGTCAGGGCAGCAGCCGACTGAGCCACCCAGGCGCCCTGTTGCTGTTTTGAGAGTCTCTTGGGCACTTGGCTCTCTCCCACTCTAACCTCTTTTTTTTTTTTTCCCCTTCCCCTCATGGGATTCAAGTTTCTCAGGATCCACATGGAGTGAAAACATATGGTGCTCTGTCTTTCTCTGTATAAAGCTTATTTCATAGCATCACACTCTCCAGTTCCATCCGTTGCTACAAGGGCCATATTTCCATTTTCTTTTCTCGTGCCATCATGGTACTCCATTATTGTTATATAAGCCACAATTTCTTTATCATTCATCAGTTGATGGACATTTAGGCTCTTTCCATAATTTGGCTATTGGTGAGGTCAGCTTACTTCCTAAAAGCATTGAATTTCACCCCTAAGGCATCAGTACTCCTGTATCGGGTAAATTCCTGCCAGTGCTACTCTTTTAGTCCATAGGGAACGGTCTATTTTTTAATTTTGAGGAACCTCCACACTGTTTTCCAGAGTGGCTGCACCAGTCTGCATTCCCACCAACAGTGCAAGAGGGTTCCCTCAGTCCAAGTTTTCTAAATGCATTAAGGTTATTTCTTAACAAGTAGACTTTTGGTGATATCCCACAAACTTTTATTTGTAGGCATCATTATCATTTATCACTAAGTGGTCTAAAATTTCAGATTTGATTTTCTACTTAGGGAAAGCTTTATTATGGATATTTTCAAATATATGCAAAGGTAGTAAGAATAGCACAATGACTCAATGTACCCATTATCCAGCTTCAACATTTAGCAGTTGCCCATCTTATTTCATCTGTTCCTGCCACCCTCCCTCCCTCCATTTACTTATTTAGTTATTTATTTATGAGAGTGAGTGAGCAGGGGTGGAGGGACAGAATCCTAAGCAGGCTCAAGTCAAACTCAAGAGACATCTGACTAAGCCATCAAGGCACCCTTTTTCTGAAGTATTTTAAAGCAAGGCATAGACATTATGTGATTTCACCCTTGAATACTTCAGTATGAATCTCTAATGTATAAGGACTTACACATAATAATTGGTGATGATGCCATCATCATGCCTAAAAAATGAATAATTGCTTAATATAACTTAATATCCACTTAGATTTACATTTTCAAAACAATGTAAACAATGTTTTCATTTGTCCAAATCAGGATTGTATTTAATGTATTTTATTTTCTGTAATTATGCTCTGGCATTTGGAGACTTGGTCCTGGAGAGACTGCCCTTCCCAGGGGTAGCAAATTCCTAGAGATAGCAAACAACTCTTTTGATCAAACCCACCAAGCCAAAGCCCCAACTGTTTCATCAAACTCTCACACACCAAGCCAATATTCCTCCTGCACAAATCACCCCAGGGCCAGGTACCAGACAACTAGGGACCACTCATATACCTCAGAACCTCCGAAATTATTAAGACTATCCAGGAGCACCTGGATGGTTCAGTCTGTGAAGCATCGGACTCTTGATTTTGGCTCAGGTCATGATCTCACAGGTTCATGAGTTCGAGCCCTGCCATCAGGCTCCTCACACTAATATTGTGCAGCCAGCTTAGGATTCTCCCTCTCTCCCTCCTGCACACACACACTCTCTCAAAATAAATAAACTTTAAAAAAAAAGAAATATTTAAAAAAAAAACCACTATCCATTCCATTCCCAAACTTCCTCAGTGTACTTACCCAGTGTCACCCATTCTTTGGAGAAAACCTCAGCAAAGGCTCTGTGCCATGCTCTGCCCTTTCCCCACTTCTGCCTTCCAACATAACTGGGTATTTCCCCATGTGGCCCTGTGGGCATGCTGTTGCCTCCTGTTTTTAGAGATCTTTGAGTCTAAACTTCTTCCTTCATGACAATCATTTCTGTATCTGCATGTTGTACCATAATTGATTAAAACAAATCCTGGGTACATTTTAAAACAAGGATTCCAATACATTCCATACACTGTATTTAATTGATATGTCTCTTAAGTCTCTTTTAATTTGCAACATTCTTTTGTCTTAACCTATATTGGTTAAGAACCAAGACCATTTATTCTGTGGAATTTTGTACATTCTGGGTTTGGTTGTTTGCTTCTTTGTGTCATTAATTTGTTCCTTTATTCCCCAAGTTTCCTGTAACCTGGTAATTAGATTTAGAGACCCACTTTTACTTCTGAGTTAACATTTGGGGTAAGAACACTTAACAAATGATACTACATATAGCCACTGCACAAGCAAGAGGCACATAGTGGGGCTGATCTAATTGAGATGTTGATGTAATGTAATGTAAATGTAGGTTCTGTCATTCTGATCCATTAAAAACTTCCTATCAATCTTTTTCACTAATGATCTTTGCTTCCATTGAAATCACCACCAAGATCCAGTATTTCAGAAATTAAAGAGTGATTTTTCAAATTCTGTCATTCCTTTGATCTTTATTGACTAGAGTTCTCTAATAATAATAAAGAACTTTACTTCACCAACTTTTGGTTGTCTTATATAGGTCATAAAGGAAAGACAAAATAAATGCTCCACTTTCCCCCTTTATCAATAAGTACCCTAATATGCTTCATAACTGACCAGTGCATTTGGTCAGGAAAAAAGGAAGCTATTAAAAGCTTTTGTCGGGGCGCCTGGGTGGCGCAGTCGGTTAAGCGTCCGACTTCAGCCAGGTCACGATCTCGCGGTCCGTGAGTTCGAGCCCCGCGTCAGGCTCTGGGCTGATGGCTCAGAGCCTGGAGCCTGTTTCTGATTCTGTGTCTCCCTCTCTCTCTGCCCCTCCCCCGTTCATGCTCTGTCTCTCTCTGTCCCAAAAATAAAATAAACGTTAAAAAAAAAAAAATTTAAAAGCTTTTGTCATGACAAAAGGACATAGGAACCAATTTGAGGGGATTCTCACTAATGAAAGACAGGACAACCAGAGCACAAAAAAAGGCTACAATGTATTTTTAAAAATCAATACAGAAGTTATAATACAAGTAATTTTTAATTTCCAAAGTTTCTTTTTACATTATTCTTTGTTAATTTTAAGTTAAATTGAGACTTGGGCCAGAGAATGTAGACTGTAGAATATCTGCTTTTTTATGAACAAATTGAAAAACAATTTCTCACTTCCACTATTTTAAAAAGAGTAAGTTATCTGAAGTTAAATAAGGGTGAGTGTTGGTGGAAGGCATTTCTATATTCTTTGTGCCCATAGTCTTTCATATGAATTTTCAAAGGAGTAATACTAATGATAATAATAAAACAAAATTTAGTGGCTTAAAACAACAATCATTTTATTATATCTCATGATCTTGTGGGTCAGGAATTTGGGCAGGGACTCAGTTGATTCATCTGTTTTATATGGTATCAACTGAAGTCACTCAGTGGGTACTCAGCTGCTGGGTGGTCTGGAAGATCCAACACTATTTCACTTAAATGTCTGGTGTCTTGGTAGGCATGTGTGGAAGACTGGGCTCAGAAGGGTGCCTCTTCCTTTCTTTGTGGTCTTAGGGCTTCTCCATGTGGTCTCTTCAGCAGAGCAGACAGACTTTTTAACAGAATTCAGAGCCTAAGCTTAAAGGAGCACTCCAAGAGATGAAGTAAAATCTACCAGTAAAGCCTGGAAACTGGCACAGCAGTACTATTACTAGTCAAAGTAGTCTTGGTCTGCCCATCCTCAAGGAGAACGGATGTGGATTCCAGATTTTGATGGGGGGAAAGGGGGAATGTCAAACAATTTGCAACAATTTTTGTTCTGCCACAGTATTGTATTACCATTTTACAAATGAAAAAATTATAGCACAGAGCAGTTAAGCATCTTGTCAATATAATACAAGTAGGAAAGTGATGGGACAGAGATAAGTGTCTCCCACATTTGTCACACTGATTAGGATTAGTTTTTAGAGTAAGTGTAAAGTTTATCAGGTTTAAGTGATGGTGGAATACATTAAATTAACATATTCTTGTAATGATATAAAACCTCTTAAGTCAATTGCCTGTATGAAGGAAGCAAAAAGGATTAATTACTATATTCATAGAGTATTCTACAAGACAGGATTGAAAAACTATCTTATATTTTTACATTATGAATTTTTAGATGATGGGTAAGGTGTGAATGTTGTCTAAAGGCCTTCTTACATTCCTTACATTCATAAGGTTTCTCACCAGAATGAATTCTCAGATGCTGAATAAGGGATGAATTAAGTCTAAAGGCCTTCCTACATTCCTTACACTCAAAGGGTTTTTCACCAGTATGAATGCTCTGATGTAAAGTAAGTTTTTGGCGCAATCTAAAGGCCTTCCCACATTCCTTACATTTATAGGGTTTCTCACCAATATGAATACTCTGATGTTGTGTAAGTTGTGAGAGCAATCTAAAAGCCTTCCCACATTCCTTGCAGTCATAAGGTTTAACACCAATATGGATACTTTGGTGTGAAATAAGTTGTGAGTAACGACTAAAGGCCTTCCAACATTCCTTACATTCATAAGGTTTCTCACCAGTATGAATTCTGTGATGAAGAATAAGATGATAACCACGACTGAAGGTCTTTCCACATTCCTTACATTCATAGGGTTTCTCACCAGTATGAATTCTCTGGTGCAGTGTTAGTTGCTGTCTCACTCTGAAAGCTTTCCCACATTCCTTACATTCATAGGGTTTCTCACCAGTATGAAGTTTGTGATGTACTCTAAGGCCAGAGCCACACAAAAAGGCCTTCCCACATTCTTTACATTCATAGAGTTTGTCAGCAATATTAAGCTTCTGATGTCGAGTGAGATGTGCATACTGTCTAAAGGCCTTTCCACATTCTGTACATACATAGGGTTTCTCACCAGTATGAATCCTCTGATGGAGAGTAAGTTGTCCTCGCACTCTGAAGGCTTTCCCGCATTCTTTACATTCATAGGGCTTTTCGCCAATATGAATTTTCTGATGTACTCTAAGGTCTGGGCCACATATAAAAGATTCTCCACATTCTTTACATTCATAGAGTTTTTCACCAGAATGAAGTCTCTGATGTCGAGTAAGGTGTGCAGTCTGTCTAAAGGCCATTCCACACTCCTTACATTCATAGGGTTTTTCACCAGTATGAATTCTGTGATGAAAAGTAAGCTGTTGGCGTACTCTAAAGGCCTTTCCACATTCTTTGCATTCATAGGGTTTCTCCACAAAATGAATTCTCTGATGTGGAGTTAGAGATGTACGTTTTTGATAAGAGGACACTTTTTGAGATGTAATTTTCACTTGACTGAAATATTCCTCCTGTCCTTCAAATTTTCTTTTAGACTCCCAGTCACTTTTTAAAATTAGGCCCTTAAGGCCATGATTTTTAATTCTTTCCATTATCTTCCACTGAGGTAGGTTTATTTCATAAATGTCATTTTCTGAGGATAACTTCTTGGTCTCATACCTGGTCTCTAAATCTGAAAGAAAATAAGAGAGCAAACATATAGTTTCCTTTTTTAAAAGAAGTAAAATTTCTACAGTAGAAATAATAGACAACTAAAGTAATACTCAATGAAATTCTGAAAATATGCAAGTTGAAAAAAAAGCATACAGTAACACCAGGGAAAATGAAAGTTCATGTTAAGAAAGTAAGACTGGTGGGGTGCATGGGTGGCTCTGTCGATTAAGCGTTCGACTCTTGGTTTCGGCTCAGGTCATGATCTCATGGTTTGTGAGATTGAGCCCTGCATGGGGCTCTGTGCTGACAGTGGAGCCTGCTTGGGATTCTCTCTCTCTCTCTCTCTCTCTCTCTCAAAATAAACAAATAAATAAACTAAAAAAGAAGAAACAAAGTGAGGCTGGTGATTAGTAAGTCAGTGGGTATCAAGCTGAGATGTGGAGTAGAAGTCACAGGAACTTGTTATAAATATTGAGGTTTAGACACTACCTAAACCACCTGGATCAGATTCTACAGTCCTGGTCAGTCCAATATTTAATATTCTCCACACAGTTCTGATGGAAATGAAAGGTTAAGAATTCATCCTTAACTTTTTTCAACAACTTCTCTTTATTCTTAGAATAAAATCAAACTTGCTGTGGTTAAAAGACCTCCACTAACCTATAACACATCATCTTAGTCTGCTCTATTTTCCACAAATCTGCTTGGGCTCTTTGAATAGCTGGTTACTTCTCATCCTGAGGTCTTAGTTTAAAAGTTATTCCTTTAAGGCTGACTCTAAACCTATGTTGTTGGGGCACCCAGGTTGCTCAGTCAGTTAAGCATCTGACTCTTGATTTTGGCTCGGGTCATGATCTCCCAGTTCATGAGTTCGAGCCCCGCATCGGGCTATGCACTGACATATAATATATGTGTATTACATATCAACATATATCTGGGTTGAAATTATATATTTATAAATTTTTCCAATTGTTTCTCTGCTTTTCTTACCCCTAAACTTCTTCAACGGCAGAAACAATTTCTACTCTCTGTTAAATAATACATGCATAGCACATAATGAGTTTTACTCTTTCAATTCCCATGGTTATATACTCATTTGGAACATATTTCTGTCTCTAATCTCTCACATATTATAACAATGATTAAATATTCCCTTTATTAATCCAAGCTAGTCTAGTTAAACATATAAATGGAAAATGATGGTTATATATTCCTATATATCCTTTTATTGCTTAAACCCCTAATCTATGTCCATTCCTTACTTCATGTAGCTGTGAGTTATTTTCTGTCTCCACAACACAATAAAAGTGCTGAAGAGTTCTATTCACTTGATTTCTCTTTAAGCTTATTCTGTTATTCATCCATTTTATAAATGCTCAACTAGTTTTGTTCCTTCATCCCCTTACTCAAGTCTCCTTTCCGTTCCTTCAGAGGCAAAGCTATTCCTTTATTTCCTAGAAATGTGTACCAGTGATTTTCCACACAGGAAAACATGTTTATACCTTACTGAAGTTCTTATGAAATACTTAGCAAAGAAAAAGATGTGATATGTAAGAAACTCACTAAAAGGGACAATGGGTCTTGTAGTCACTTGAGTATGAAAAATTTGCTAACAAAGTTCATGTTGGATATAGAGAGAAGATGGTAATCCAGTGGGAGAAATAGCAGAGAAATATTTAAATGCTGAATGAGTTATGTATGAGAGAGAAAAAGGAGGATGTTTCAGTTATTATAATTGGTCTGTGTAAAAAAGCTGAAATCATATCAACATTTTCTATTGAAGCTAGAAATAATAAAATTTTAAAAAGCCAAAAATAAACCCACTTGAAATTTTAGAAGTCTATATTAAATAACTTTTAGATCAATAGGGAAATAAGTTCCAAAACAGTATTTTTGTATTTTAGAAAATGGTAATAATTTAAAAATCAACATTAAATTAGTATCTATAAAATATAAGCACAGCACTTAGAAAAAAATTTGAAAACTTTAAATATTTACATAAATATAAACATGAGAGAAAAAATTAATTAAAAATCAAAGAAATTGGAAGAAGAATAAAGTAAACTGAAGCAAAGCAGAAGGAATAAATTAATCAGTATAAATGCATAACTAGTCAGAAAACAGAAAAAAAGAACTAATACATAAAGCAAAAGCATTCTTTAAAAAAACAAATCAGGGGTGTCAGCTTGGCTCAGTTAGTTAAGCGACTGACTCTTGATTTAGGCTTAGGTCATGATCTCATGGTTTGTGGGTTTGAGCTCTGTGTCAGACTCTGTGCTGACAGTATGGAGCCTGCTTGGGATTCTCTCTCTCTGTCCCTTCTCCACTTGCATGCTCTGTTTCTCTCTCTCTCAAAATAAATAAATAAACTTTAAAAAAAATCAGTAAAACAGCTAAAGCGTTAGTTAATATAAAGAAAACAGCAAGGGGATGCCTGTGTGGCTCAAGTCAGTTAAGTGTCAGACTTCAGCTCAGGTCAAGATCTCAAGGCTCGTGGATTAGAGCCCCAAGTTGGGCTCTGTGCTGACAGCTCAAAGTCTGGAGCCTGCTTCAGAGTCTGTGTGTGTCTCTCTCTCTGCTCCTCCCCTGCTCATGCTCGCTTTCTCTCTCTCTCTCTCTCTCAAAAATAAACATTAAAGGGGCGCCTGGGTGGCGCAGTCGGTTAAGCGTCCGACTTCAGCCAGGTCACGATCTCGCGGTCCGTGAGTTCGAGCCCCGCGTCGGGCTCTGGGCTGATGGCTCGGAGTCCGGAGCCTGTTTCCGATTCTGTGTCTCCCTCTCTCTCTGCCCCTCCCCCGTTCATGCTCTGTCTCTCTCTGTCCCAAAAATAAATAAACATTGAAAAAAAAATTAAAAATAAAAAATAAATAAATAAACATTAAACAAATTAAAAAAAAAGAAAACAGCAATAAAGCACATAGAAATAAATGGCAAAGTGAAAATAACCACGAATACAGAGGCCAGCTGAAAAAAGATTATTTTGCTAATAAATTTTAAAACATACCTAAAATGAATAATTTTCTAGGAAAATATAATTTACCAAAACTGACCACAGAAGAAATACAATGTTTAAACATGAATTTCCAGGGGGCCTGGGGGCTCAGTCAGTTAAGCATCCGACTTCGGCTCAGGTCATGATCTCGCGGTCCGAGAGTTCGAGCCCCGCCTCAGGCTCTGTGCTGACAGCTCAGAGCCTGGAGCCTGTTTCAGATTCTGTGTCTCCCTCTCTCTATGACCCTCCCCCATTCATGCTCTCTCTCTGTCTCAAAAATAAATAAATGGTAAAAAAAAAAAAATTTAAACATTAATTTTCATAGAGCAAATAGAGAATGGGGTGAGACTTACCATCTCCTTCTCCTAGGAAAGAAGCTTTAAAGAATAGACCATCTAAATTCTATTAAGAGTAGACTATCTAAATTCTATTAAGACTGAGAACTAAGAAAAAGGAGGACTTCCAAACTATTTTCATAGAGTAATACTGTACTAAATAAAGATCACTCATAAAAAGAAAACTACATACCAATTTTTTGAAAACTGATATAAAAATTCTAAAACATCTAATAAAACAGCATATTGAAAACCTAGTGTTATTTACTCAAAGAATGTTAGAGTGGTCCAATATGAAGAAATCTATTAAGACAAATCAACACACAGGGGTGCCTGAATGGCTCAGTAGGTTAAGCATCCAACTCTTGATTTTGGCTCAGGTCCTGATCTCAGGCCCTGGGGTCAGGCTTGTGGGGTCAGCCTCTGCGGTGACAGCGCAGAGTTGGCTTGGGATTATCTCTCCCTCTCTCCCCTTCCTGCGTGCATGCTCTCTCTTTCTCTCTCTCTCTCAAAATAAACTTAAAAAATAAATAAATAAATAGGGCTGCGGGGTTTGGGGGGAACCACAAGATCAACTTCAGAGATTCTGAAAGGCAACTAAAATAGGAACCATTCCTGATTTAAAGGAACAGCACAATAAAATAGAAATGATTACTTCCCTAAAATGATAAAATATATATTAAAGGCAGCTTTTGAGTTATTAGCCAATACACTTAAATATCAGAAAAAAGCTAGAAGTAGAAAAATTTAAGAGGAAGTAAAATTGTATTTCCAGATGATATGATTACATAATTGGAACACTTAAAAGGTTTAAATAATATAAATGGTAACAGAATTTAGGTAGGGTAGTGGGATATAAAATCAAAATACAAAAACTAATAGCTTTAATATATATGTTTAACAATAAAATATAATGCAGAAAAGAAGATTCTAGTCAGGTAGTAAACTGAAAATATATACATAACCTTTATGAAGGAAAACTCTGAAATACGAAGCATTTGGCATTAGATTTTCTAAAGAAATGACATGCAAAATCACAAGATGGAGATTACTCTGTACAAGGTGAGAATGGCCTACCAAGTGTATGTTCATGCTGAGAAGCTGAGCAGGTATGGATGACAATGGGTGACAACAGGATAAATACTATCTTCAAAGTGGCCATGTATATTGAATCCTGCAGATTTTCTCAGGCCAGATAGCAACTACTCCTGTCTGCCTCCACAGCAGGCAATGGACATGGGGGCTAGGGCATGAAAGAGAAAATAGTGGCTAGTCATGTCCTGGGGATACAGTCACATCCCTAGGTCTAGGTGACAAAGTACTTCTGCTTTACAAGGGAGTGTTTATTCCAAACAAGTTTAGGCCAGTTTCACTTTTTCCCTTAAGGTATCTAATTTAATTAAATAATAAACTCATGAACAACTATGAGAAGAGACTGACTCTATGAAAATGAAATTGAACACTTTGGAAAAACTGATCGTAAATACATAT